TTATTATATATAATAATTATTATTATTAGGGATAATGTTAAAATCAAATGATACTAAAATCTGAAGCTATAGGTTAGTGCCAAAAATATTATAGTATGTTAAAATTGTATTTTGACAAATTATTACATATTTTTATAAATAATTTTATTATAATATAACAAATTATTACAATTTTAATATGATATAAATACAATAGAACTCTACAATAGTTATATGCTAAAATCAAACATTTTATATACCTATTACAAGATTGTGATTAAAGCAAGCTAGAGTTTATATATAGTGTATATAGTTAGATAAAAAAATCAAAATGACTATAGTAAGATTGTAACAAATATAGATATAATTATTGCAGAGTTTTACTATATCTTTAATACTAATCTTTAGTCTAAGGCCTCAATTTGAAAATATAAACTCTACTAAAATCAATCTATACTCTTTTATTATAAATACTAACTCTAAATTCTAGCTTAACTATAAAAAAACTAAACAAAACATCTCAAAAAAATTTTAATATTTCATAATAAAATAAACTAAAATTTTAGTATTATTCAATTTTAGCATTATTTTTAATAGTTATAATATATAATAAGTATATATTATTAGAATAATAAATAAACTTCTAATTTGGTAATAAGATCATACAAAACTAATTTCTTGGTTTTTATAATATAAAATAAATTTTATAATCCAGCAACCTAGATTTTTATTTTTTTTTAAATTTTTTTAAAAGATATTAGCAGCTATAAAATAATTTAATTAATTTAAAAGGTTCAATTGTAGTAATTATTTACTGTTAATTTTTTATTTTCAAAATTACTTTGATCAGTCATAATTAAAATTTGTATACAATATCTAGATTATTTGTAAATTACTTTGTAAATTATCAATTAATTATTCTTTTAACAGTTTGCCAAAAGTTCATTAAAGGCAAATTTTAAGTTACAGCTAATCAGAGTAACTAAAATACAGTAAAACCCAGTAATAGTCATATCCACATTTGTTACAATTCTATTATAATCATCTTAATTCTTTTATCTAACCATATATACTATATAAAGATTGGTGCTAAAAGTACTAATATTATATCAAAATTGTAATAATTCATTATATTATAATAAAATTATTAATAAAAATATATAATAATTTGTAAAAATACAATTTTGACATGATATAATATTTTTGGCACCAATCTATAATACTACATATATATAAACTTTTACTCACTTTAGTTACAATCTCGTAATAGGCACATAAAATATCTGATTTTAGCATATAACTATTGTAAGATTCTACTATATTTATAAGTAATTATAAATATATAATAGATTGAGATGTGAATTGTTTGTTTAGAATAAAATTTAAAAGTATAGATATTTAGTAAAGCCTGTATATATTTTACTAAATTTTAACTATTGTTATTCTAAGGTACAATAATTGTCATAGCTGAAGCTTAAAATGGCTGAAGCTTGAAATTTTAAATATTTTAATATAAAATTTTTAAAAAATTTTGGGCTGTGTTTTTTTAGCTTTTTTTTTATAGTTAGATTAGAATTTAGGGTTAGTTTTTATAATAAAAAAGTATAGATAGATTTTGGTAGGGTTTATATTTTTAAATTGAGGTCCCTAATTTCAAGCTTTAGCTATTTTAAGCTTTAGCTGTAACAATAATTAAATTTAGTGATTGGTAACAAAATAGATAAAATTTGTAATTTTATTAAATAATTTTATTATAACTACTTATAATTATTATAATTAAATATATAATAAATAATTATAATACCAATCTATAAGTACAATATAAAAATGATTTGAAAGAATATGTCTTATTAGATTAAACAAATAATAAATTTAATAAAATAAATATAAACGAAATTGGAGATTAGATTTTTCATAAACCCAAGGTTAGAATTTGACAATTTTTATAATATTTGATTTGTCTCAATAAGACAAATTAAATGATATAAAAATTATTAAATTCTAGTTATTAGATTACAAAATATTGTTGATCTAGTAAAATAAGATTATAATTGGTCAATTATCATATATATATAAGAATATAACTAATAATTTAATTTCATGTAATTGACAATTCTAGATTTTTTATTAGACAACTTGGCTCTGAGTTACAATTTTCAAATCTGAAAAATCTGTCAATGAAGATGATTATTATTGGGATATACTAATCTGCCAAATTACTATATTCACAAATTTGAATCAATGTGATTATATTGTATTTTGTCAGATAATATTTATTATAATTTTGTAAAAAATATATATAATAAATATACAGATATCCCTCTATATAGTTACCTCCCATATATTATATTATATATAATCACATTTATATTTAGGCTAAGCTATTATTTGATTTAGCCCTCCATATAAGCACAACTCCTTTATAAGCACATTTTTAAAAAAATTTACTATGTGCCCAGCTGTGTGATTATATAGGAGGACAACTGTAATATGTAGTAATTAGCTATTTATAGCACTATACTTAGGTTTATAAAAATTTAATAAAAATTATGCATAATTTTACATATAAATTTTACATAAACCTATATAAAAATGATTTTGTGACGCAGAATGCATTTAAAAAATGTTAAAATATATGTAAAGAATATATATTATTGAATTTATACTATACATATAAAATCAACCCACAATAACTATTTTTGTTTAGTCAAAATTGTAAATCAGTATGTAAATTTAGAGATATATCGGTTAGATCAGTGGAGTTTTATGCATGCAGTCGAGAACCCTGAATCACATTACGCGTAATAGTTAGATTATGAGGTATGTACATACGTACTAGGGTGGTAAATCAACTAAGTAAATCAAAACTATGTAAGCAAACTATAGAATTTGATATATTACAGATTTTTCACATTACACGAATAAAATCAATTTAATTACTGCATATTATATAAATATATTTATTAAATTTAATTACTTTAAAATGGTGCAACTTATTGAATACCTAACGAATTACCTTGAAATTTTCACAACTTTTTAAATGTTGGCGAATAAAGTTACGCTTTTAGATTTTCTATTAACATATACATAATTCAAGTTTTGTTATTTAAAGTAAAAAATTTAAACATACAAGTTGAAATTTAAATAAAATTTTTGCAATAAATCGAGCGTAACTTTTTAGAGATGACTTTTGTAAAGAGTTTTTAATTAAAAGAAATTAGGAAAAGAAGTGCAATTCCAAGATGCGTTCTTTAGAAATTGTGCATTATTTTAATTTTACTGATTAAAATCTGATCATAGTAAAATTACTACGTATGTAATATTGCTGATATAGTTTTGATTTACTTAGTTGATTTACTACCCCAATACGTACAGTACGTATGTACGTATATCGGTTGGATCAATAGAGTTTATGCATGCAGAGTTTATTTTTACAATCATGTGCCGTAGTAAAAAAGCATAATAAGAAGTCGCATATAAATATGAAATAGAGAGATAAATAAGTTAAAATAAGTTCTCTTCGCAAGTATTATAATCAAAATAAATATAAACCCTGTCATTGTGGTAACCGCAGCTTGTGGTCGAAGTGTGAATTGTAATTAAAGAAGTAGATCGTGGTTGAAGGTGTAAGTCGTAAATAAATAATGGCATAGTTAGCACAGTGTAGTAAAGGAAAAATAAAGTAGAAATGAAGTAAAGTCTTACTTGACATTACAAAGCAAACCATCTGATAATGTTTTATCATGAAAAATATATTTATATAAGGCAGCTTAAATATTGTTTCAGAGATAACCAGAGTAAAAACAAATACATGGCGTTAAAAAAAAAAAAAAAGAATGAAAATTCAAAATAAGCGATACAAATAAAACATTTAATGTTTGTCGTTCTATCAATATGAAATTTGAGTTGAAGAGGACGAGCAGGTGATACAGATAGGACATTAATATCAATATGAGATTGGAATTGGGAAAGACGAATATGAAGCATTCGAACATTATTAAAAATCTACCAAGGTGTAGAACATTATGGGTATAAACAATATTGAGAATTATTATGATTAAGGAAATGATGTTGAAAAGAACATGCATAAAACATTTATACTGTAGAACATTTAATTCCGGATTTGTTTGTTTCAATGGAATAAGTTGATAAAATATACTAAGATTGAAAGAAAACACTATTGGACCGTCATAAAAAGATTGGAATTGAAAAAGACAAATGTAAAGTACTCAACTATTATTAAAAATCTGATATAATAGATACTTGGTATTCAACATTGGATATTTATGTTGAGAAAGAGCTGGAGTTAAAGGAATAATTCAAAGGCGCTCATTTATTCTGAATGCTCTTATAGAAAATTGGAATTAAAGATGTGAATTTAAGGCATCTGCAGAAATTTACAGATTTGAATATGAAACATCTTAGAGAAAAAAATTGGAAAAGAATGGATAATAAGGTATTTATTCAAAAATTTGCCGATAGGAATAGTTCTAATAAAATATTTTAATCCTGTATTTGCTATTTTAATCATATATAAGAATAGGGTTGACAACGATAGATGTAAAGCATCTGCTAGATGGGAAACCGTGATGATACAATGTAAAACATCTGCTAGATGGAAATAGTAATGATACTATATTATTATGAAGAATCGAAGTTGGAGACGACAAAGTAAGATATTTGAATTATTGTTAAAACCTAATACTTATCATGAATACTTATAATTCATTTAATATTGTTAGAAGTTGAAAATGACAACCAACGGGTGTTCGAATAATCTGCAGGAGCTGATGTTTGTGGGAAGTTGTTATCAAATATTACTACGTAAGCGTAAATAATTACCACATATAGTATATAAACCTACTGGTGGCTATTATTATCATTATTCACTTAGGTAATTCTATACACCCACCGATCGGGTGACCCAGCTAGCATTTTTTTAGTTCAATTACTAATCTATGATCAACATAAAAATTTTACGTTTACTGTAGATTGTAACGATAATCTTTTTTGTTTCAAAAATGTCTTCGTCTAATGATATCAACGATGAAGAACCTACTTCAACTCTTAGTTCTGAAAAAGCTAGTAGTGATAAACAATGAAAAATAGTTGGGTGGCCGTTTGATCCTGTTTGGAACTATTTCAACCAGATAGAAAAAAAAAAGTGGCCATTATTCAGCTAGTTGTAAACACTGTCCACAACAGTGGTCACGTGGAGATATATCAACCTTTAAAATGCATATTGCACATAATTGCCTTAATGCTCTATTAGAAGCACAACTTCTTTATTTCAAACAATTAAACAAAGATACTGAAGAACAAACATCAAATAAGAAGCGAAAAACGGATTTAAAAGATAATGAGGAAATTCCTAAAGTTGTTGAAAATCAAGAACTATCCATAAAAAGACAAGAACAATTGGAGGAGGGCATGTGTCTTGCATTTGTTTGCGCGGGTATCCCATTTAATGTTGCAGGAAACGAAATTGTTCATGCATGGTTTCAGAATCTTGAACCAGGTTTTAAAGTACCTAGTCCGAAAACACTTGCTAGAAGAATTTTTAATAAACAAATTATTCAGGTAGAAGCGAAAATGGAAAGTGAATTACAAAGTAAAAATTATATCACCCTCGGTATGTAAATAAGTGACGGCAAAAAAAAACCTGAAAATCATGCTTTTAAATCTTAAATATTCAATTATTTGATTTTAAGATATTTTTGTTGAAAGTAAATGCTTTAAAAGCATGATTTACAGGTTTTCTCTTGTCATCACTCAAATATTATTAAGTCTATTTTTTTCATAGCTTAGGTACATAATAATTTATTTTTTATATAGCACTTGACGGGTGGACAGATCCACGAGGCCGATCAATTTAGAATTTTTTACTTTTAATACCTGACAGAAAAGAACACTTGTATGCTTTACGTAACTATTCGGATACACATCATACAGCAGAATTTCTCACACAAGAAATTGAAAAAATTATTACTCAAATTGGAACTAAAAAAATTTGTGCGGTGGTTAGTGATAACGGTGCAAATGTTGCAGCGGCATGACGCCTAATCACACAAAAATTTCCTCATATAATGAATGTGTCATATATAGCCCATCGACTAAATCTTATTTGTAAAGATATTATAAAAGAAGCTTTCTCAAAATGCATTTTATCTCAAGCGACATTAGTTGCACAATTTTTTAAATCATCTCACATTGCAAATTCAGCGCTTGAACATGAAATTCAGATTAATAATATTGTAGGAGGAGGTATTAAATGATATGTAGCAACTTGTTGATCGAGTTATTATGATACAATTTATTCAATATTGCGTTTAAAAGTTGCATTTGTTCGAGTAAGTTGATTTAATTTATATTAAAAGTATAATACAACTTACTGTTATCACAATAAGCTATCGATATATTAAGAAATGATTTTTTCCTTAACAACTTCGCTATAATATAAAACTAATTATTAATGTGTTTACAAAAAGATTTTAGAACATGATCCGAATATTATTTCAAATAACAAAGTATATACGATTTTAAATAGAGGTTCATTTTATGATGATTTATACTTTATGACTACTATTCTACGGCCTATTAAAGAATCTATTGTTCAACTTGAAAGCCGGGATTCAACACTCGCAGATTGCTTTATTCATTTAATCAAATTGGCAGCTATGATTTATCGAATACCTCAAGGCCAACATATTACTTTTCGAAAACATTGCATTACTTCTATCAATAGACGATTTTTAGAGTTTAATAATAATATATATCATTTGGTGTATTTTTTGCATCCAAAATTTAGAGGTAACATATATATATTGTATACTTATCGTAATGTGCTGCCTTTAGTATCCTTTTATTTAATACCCCTTTAGATAATTCTCAGGTATATTACAAAAAAAATTATTAAGCCCTAACATTAAAATTTAATAAATTTAATTAAAAATATTTCAATTGTAATTATAATATTTTTCTCAAGTTACAACATCTCCCCCAGCTTGTATCTTCACTCTTCGTTAAGTACCTATGAATACATTACTATGTATAATCTTTTTTTTTTGATAAGTCCCGGGTATTAAAGGCGGTGCACTACGGCATTGATTTTTATTTTATCTTTTTTTTCTACCAAGTAGTGATACAAATCGAAATCGAATTTAATCGATTAGTTGGTTAGTTGACAATTAATCGACTGAACTTTTTAGACACCAACTAATTGATTAGTTGCAACTGATTGACTAAAGAATCGATTGAAAAATTATTTATTTACTTAATGAATTAGTTGCAGCTAATCGATTAATTGATTAATTGACCAGCTGCAACTAATCGATTAATCGATTAATCGATCAGTTGCAACTAATTGATTAGTTGCAACCAACTGAAAAAATAATGATCAACTAATCGATTGAAAAAATTTTGACGATTTGTAATACTACTACCAAGTTGTCTTAATATAATGCCTTATTTTAAAATCTATTATATTTTAAACAAATATTTGTATATGTACATCAGGTCGCGGTTTTAAAAGAGGTCAATATAGAACAATCGCAATATATGCAAGTACTTTGTGGAAAGCTTTTGGTAAAAGTGAAAGCACTTGCCAACAACTTTTAGGACAACTAGCTTCCTACAAAGAAAATGAGCCACCTTTTGATGTTCCATTTGAACCTGATTGCCAAACACCGCAGACATGGTGGAAATCGATCGAAGATGTTCACAATCATCTTAATATTTTGGCAACTAAACTTCTTAATATTACTCTGCATTCCGCCTCTTGTGAAAGGGTCTTTTCGACCTTGGGATGGATCTATGGAAAGAAAAGAACTCAATTAGCATTCGAAAAAGTAGAAGCATTAGCCAAGATTCATCGGTATTATATAACGCATGCCAAAGAAGAGATTTCTTATATTGATCGTGAACTTACTTTAGAGGATGTGTTGACCGTAGCAAATGGAGTTGAGGAATTGGATGATAACGATTCAGATGAAGGCTCTGCTGATGATGAAACAGAATTCGAATCATTAGATGAGGTTTTAAATTTGGAAAAGGATTTTGACTTAAATCATGAAGTTTTTTGGGAAGAAGGTCAAAGTTATAACATAGAACCGAATTCCGAAAATGTAGTTGAAGAACAACCAAATTATGATTATAATGTAGATAGTTTAGTTGATGAAATTCTAACTTAAAAATTTCGGGTTAGATAAAGATGGTGTATTAATAATATACTGTCTAAAATAAACTACTACATAATATTTTGTGCCTAAAGGGTTTTTTTTTCTGATTAATACAATTAATCAATAAATAAAAATGAATCGATCTGGCCCACCCAGTCTAGTCCCTAATATAATATATTGAGCATTGTTAGCCAAAATTTACGCTGCAATACGACTAATTATTATTATACGTTCAAGTTTATTATTAAGAATTAAAACCGCTATTTGTTTAACCGCCTTTAATCGTTTATAACTGTTTTTTAAATTTTATACAATTAATCATTTAATAATCGTTCAATGCCTCGTATGGATATAAACAAATATGAGCACGGTCATTTCATAACTCTGAGCCTTATTAACGTTTAGACAGTATAACTATATTAGTAATACCAAATTAAAACCTAAAAGTGAACATTCTTACTGTAGTGAACTAATTTTTCAAAGTTTGTCTTAATTGCGCAGCACTCATATATTATCGTACTAAAAAACTATTTACCGTTATGCTTTAAAAGTTTTATGCTCTGGACTTATGCTGATTTCGGATCTCTTGCAGTATGGGTGACACATATTCTAAATCAATTGATTAAAAATACATTTTATTAGTGGTGTCACCTATACTGCAAGAGATTCCTGATTTCTAGTTCCTAATGATTATATTTAAATGATTAAACGATTAAATATATGGTTATACGATTACGGTTAAACGGTTAGATGATTATAATTAAACGATGCAATTAACCGCCAGCATAATTTTTCGTGGTTTCAATCCCTATTTAGTATTTATATAATATCTCTTATTTGGGTTATTTATTTGTAAAACTAGTAAATACAGTAAACCCTCTATAAATACTCACCTTTAGGAACAAATTTTAACAATATATACTTAAAGATCAATAAGAAAAAGTGTATTTATGAAGGTCATATATATATTTTTTGGCCCAAGTTTGAGTATGAATTTAGAGAGGTTGTGCACTTATAAAGGGTGGATTTATAGAGGTTTACTGTATAAAAATATTTATTAATTTCAGATCCTAATGATTATATACATTTTATGCTATATTAAACTGTAAAGTTTTCAATTTTTATTAAAAAATCAATATAAGTATATACATATATGTATATATTGTTAATCTTAAATTTCTATATAAAAATTTTTTGTTGAATTTTTAATTACAGCAAAATCTCTATAAGTGTATTTTTATAAGTGCATCCTCTCTAAATACATACTCAAATTTGGGCCCAAATATATATAATAGGAGAAACTATTATTAATACTTGATATGATGTAGTTAATCAATAATAAAATTATTTATTTTGTGTTTATTCTAAAATATATATTACAGTCACACCTCCCTAAGTGCACCCCTCTGGGACCAGCCATAAACGCGCATTTAAAGAGGGTGTGCATATAGAGAATTCACAGATTAGCCAATCAGCTTCACGTATATAACCAGCCAATTAGAATTTCTAAAAATAAAAAACTTTTTTGTTAAATGATAACCATTGCCTACATATTAAAATGTGAAGCCTGTCAACGAAGTGACAAGGCGACCATTATTGCGAGATCAGATGACTTGATAAGATACCACGTGTTGAATTTTGGATAGCCTTTTATGGTCTGCTGCTTAGTCCGGATGGTTTCTTGTTAGTCACAGGTTTTTAAGTTATCATTATGATTGCATATTATTAACATTAAGGGAGACGGATGAATATAGCCATTATTGAACATTAAAGGAAATTCGAAGGTGAATTCATATGGTTTCTGGGTGCAAGTGCAGGAGAATGAGAAGTAGGAGTTTTACTGTGGATGTAGGGTATTTAGATGCATTGTAGGTATACATGGGGGTCGAAATTATTTTGCTCATGGCGAAAATTAAAATGGCGAAAATCATTTTTGACAGTCTAAAGCGTAAATAATTTAGAGTGTCGAAATTATTTTAGGGTGTCGTAAATATTTTAGAGTGTCATAAATATTTTAGAGTGTTGTAAATAATTTTGAGTGTCGAAATTATTTTAGAATGTTATAATGACGAAAATATTTTTAAATGACGAAAATATTTAAAAGTGTCGAAATATTTTTGAATGTCAAAAATAAAAAAGTAATCTTTAGATTAAATAATCTTAAGAAATAATTATCGTGAAGGTTTTTACTGCAGCTTTAGTCTACTGAATTCTTTTAGTAAGGTTTGTTATTTATGTATGTATGTTTTATTTATATAGATAAAAAAAAAATTATATAAAATAGCTTTTTAAAGTTAGATAATATAAATCCGTTATATAGAAATAATAAAAACTATAAAAATAGTTGAATAAGGAACTAAAAAAAACTTGGCTACCAAGAAAAAAAATAATTCAACTATTAAAAAATCAAAAAAAATAAACGAATAATACTAAAATATTTAAAGCTAAAACTAGCAAATTTATACTTTACTCGTAGATGCATTAATTATTTCATCGATATCATAATCCAATTCATCTTCCCCTAATTCTACATTACTATTGGTTGTTTCATTTGTTTTTTCTTCTAAAAAAGTATTGAAATTAAACATTTTTTCAATTTCTAAATCCCTATCATTATACTGCAAAAGATCATCCAAATTTTCGGTATCAGATATATAATCGACATCAGCTTCTTCACTTTCTTCTCCATCATCAATAAACATATCGTCGTCAAACTCAACCATATTTGCATAATTTTCCATAACTTTCTCAAAGTCAGATTCAGAAATAGCGTGATTAATATAATTAAGTTCCTTTTGAGCATTGGTTATATAATAGGTATGTATTTTTGCTATATTTGATACTTTTTCAACAGTAATTCTATTATAAAAAGTATAAA